CAGCTTCCAGCTGAAGAGGAAATTAGGGAAAGACGTTGGAAGTGGATAGGACATACATTAAGGAAATCATCAATGTGCATCACGACTCAATCCCTAACCTGGAATCCGGAAGGGAAGCGGAAAAGAGGAAGGCCAAAGAACACACTACGCCAGGAAATAGAAGCCGATATGAAAGGGATGAATGTTAACTGGAAAGGATTGCCCATGACAGAGTTGGATGGAGAATGCTGGTGTGCGGCCTATGCTCCTCGACGAGGGGTAACAGGCGTAAGTAAGTAAGTAATTATTATCTCAATTGACAAGATGAAATTCTCCTGCTATAAATTTTCTTTACACAAATTTTTGCATTTTCATTTTTACTGTTATACTGATTGTGATTGGACTTACTTACTTACTTACTTACGCCTGTCACCCTTCGTCGGGGAGCATAGGCCGCACACCAGCATTCTCCATCCAACTCTGTCATGGGCAATCCTTTCCAGTTCTTTCCAGTTAACATTTATCCTTTTCATATCGGCTTCTATTTCCCGGCGTAATATGTTCTTTGGCCTTCCTCTTCTCCTCTTCCCTTCCGGATTCCAAGTTGGGGATTGCTTTGTAATGCACATTGATGATTTCCTTAATGTATGTCCTATCCACTTCCAACGTCTTTCCCTAATTTCCTCTTCAGCTGGAAGCTGGTTTGTCCTCTCTCACAGTACTCTGTTGCAGATAGTATCCGTCCAGTGAATGTTGAGTATTTCGCGTAGACATCTGTTTATAAATAGTTGTGACTGGACACTTTACTACAGATTCATTTTGACCTTTATGAAATGACCTTTCTAATTTACAAACACAATTTTCTATAAGTAGTATATAGATAGATTATCATTCTGATTAAGGGAGCTACCGATCGTTGAATTTCGCGTGTTTTGTGTACGATTTGTATGATACTAAACTAAATTAATTACAATTATGAATTGATTAAGCAAAGATGGATAGTAGCTAGCAGTGGAATCCAGGACGCGCGCCATTTCGTCCTATTTGGGACCCGTCAGCTGGATGTACTTGCATCTTAGAGTTGAAGTGATTAGTTTACAGTTCTTTACAAACAAAATGCCTTACAGTGTATTGTCTCGAAGTATAATCACACAGAACTATGAAATATTTAATAGTTGAGTTTAGGAGTCAATTGAGGCTAGACCACCATGGAACACCTGCAAGCGGTGGATCACGGATGTGCACTATTGAGGAGTCCTACAGTAGGACAAAACGGTTATCCAGTGCTTCCAGGTTTTTCATGGTGGTCTAACTTCAATTGACTCATAATTTCAACTTTGAAAAATACTGAAATCTCCACAAATCCCCTTCTAAATGGAGATGAAAATAGTTGAACTGGGGATAGATACATTGCTTTAGAAATATTTACTTAGTATTGTTTGTTTGGATCTTACCATTGATGTTTAGGACTGCAACTGGTCAGTCTCTCATTGACCATATGTGCATTCTGTGCGTGTTGCCTCGATATAGTCTTAATTCATAAGCATTGTAAGCAAAGATAGATAGTGGCTACCAGTGGAATCCAGGATGCACGTTTCGTCCTATTTGGATAACGCTATGGCGTTTGAAGCTAAAGGTACTGGTTTTGAATCTCAAAGTGAACATCAACTCTGAGATGTGGGTACACATAGCTGACGAATCCCAAAGAGGATGAAATGAGCATCCTGGATTTCACTGCTAGCCACAATCCATCTTAAGAAATATCATTTATCAAATCAAATTGTTGAATTATTCAACCTCATTTACTTTTTCTTTTGGTTAGCATTTTTTAGCGAGTTAGTAATCCACGGGATGGGGTCACTAATCCCATTCCCAACCCTTCTACTTTATCCCGGCATGGGACCGGCAGTAATCTCAAAGGGGTTCCAGGCTGAGTTAACGCACTTCGTTTGATTTCATTTGATTCAACTAGTTATCTATACTACTTAATTCAATCATATAACTCATACAATGATATACTTGAGATAACTAACCATATAACACACTAAATAAGAAGTCATACTTTAAATGTAATCAGATCGTAAGTGGTTGAGTGTGAGGCAAACAGAATACAATCAATTAGCAATTAGTACTGAATAGTAACACGTAGAACAGCAATTAACAGGTTTATGGAAAGCTTACAATAAGAAAAATACAGTAGTAGAAAATTACGGTGATCTACTAATTCATTATACAGTGAAATTCTAGATAACAATAAGTCTGAATGTTCCAATTACTCCAAGATGTAGGAACATAAGAAATGATTCAATGAATGTTGTGATAATAGCTAACAACCAGTGATGATAACTGTTTTAATGAAATAATAATAAACGATAAATAAGCATAAGAAATAGAAAATAAGGTAATCAGATGTATTTCCTTACGCCTGTTATCCTCCCCCCCCACACACTCATCGAGGAACACAGTTCAACAACCAGAAGTCTTAATTCAACTCTAGCATGGATAATCCTTTCAAGTTGTTTCCAGTTGATATTTATTCTTTTCATATTTCCTTTCAATTAACGACACAATTTGTTTGTTGCGTCTCTAACGACGACTAATTATCACGTGATTTATTCGTCAATCGAAATACGAGTTATACAATCTTATTCCTGTTTTTAATGGAGTTTTGTTCACTGAACTGAATGGTTTGGTCGTGGAGCTTTCATTGTTCTTCTGAACGACATAATCAGCACAAACTACGGATGAAAGTGAAGTGTTGGAATTTTTCCACCTTAGTACTATGCTGAACCAATGAAATTCTACCGGTATGAGCAGCCTAGCGTTCTCATTGGTACTTTGTACGCCTAGCCCTACCAGTTGAGTCCATAACATTACTACCAGATTATACTATACAAATTACTGATTGTAAACATGTCTGGTTTATATACAACCGAACCATATCACATTACATCACAAAATAGAAAATAACATTCATACAAGATCAAGCCAAAATGTGGCTGTGAAAGTGGGACACTGTAATCAATAAATTGAACATAACTTAAGAACAGTAAGTCGTATAATAATAATCTATAGGTCAAAATGATGCTTATTATAAGGAGGAATATAGATGTACATAATCTAGTTACTGAGTAGTTATACAATAAGAATATACATATAATATTAATCTATTAATAGTCCTCGGAATTTATCCGTAATTTAATCTTCACTAGGATATAACAGTGTTCTTTGTGTCTCCTTTGAGGATTGCAAGTTATTGCTTTCCTCTTGATCCAGTTTGATGATTTCCACAATGTAATTCTTATCCTTTTGCAACGTCTTTTCCTAAATTCCTCTTCTATTGGAAGTTGGTTTGTTCTCTCTCGTAGTAGGCTGTTATTGATGATATCCAGTCAACGGACATTCAGTATCTTACGGAGATAATTATTTATAAATAATTGTACCATTTTGATCATAGTTACGGTAGTTCTCCACGTTGGAGCTCTATATAGTAGAACTATCTTCACGTTCATAGTGAAGATTGTGATTTTGATGTTGATTGACAGTTGTTTTAAGTCCCATATGTTATTCGATTATAGGAATGCTGTCCTTACTTTTCCAATCCTTGCATTCATATATATTTATATGATATCTTACCGATGTTTACTGTCTGAAACTCACATTTAATAATAGTAACGAACTACTATTCATCTCTATATGAACTGCTAGAAGACTTTCACTGAATGTGGAGTCTTCTGATCTCAATGATCATCAATAAAAGTATGTTGGTGATAAGTTTTCCATGGTCATCTAGCTTCAATTGATTCATGATCTCAACTATTAAAACTTATATGTTTAAAACAAGTTCAGACTCTAATCGATCCACTTCTATAGGAAACAACCTTTTGTAAGACCTGTTCTGAATAACGCTTCATAAATGATACTCTTATTTTATGCTTCTAAGATTAAAGAGAGGAATACAACCATTCACCAATGTCTTCAGTGAGTTGATATCTTTCAATAGACCTAGTTGAACTCATGATTAACTTATGATCTTAATTGTAAGGATGGCTCGTTGGTAAACTCTAGGAAGCCTCAAGAAGGCTGGAAAGAGCCGAAAACATTCCATCCAATCACTGCTAGGGGAATATTCTAGAATGTCGACGTGTAGCTTCCCCATTGGATGGATAATAATGACCCCCTATGTGCCTATTGTTTGTTCAAAATGATGATTTACTCTCAGTCAAAAAAACTATAAATACATGTGTTATGTAGTAGCGAAGACATAAGTACGGGTAACTTGCAGGACCTACTATTGGACTATGATTCTTATTGTATAACTATTCGGTAACTAGATTATCTATATCTATATTCATCTTATTGTAAGCTTCATTTTGACCTATTGATTATTACTATATGATTTACTGTCCCTATGTTATACTCAGTTATACTCAGCTTACAGCCTCATTTGGCCTGGTTTTGTACAAGTATTATTTTCTATTTTATGGTGTGGTGTCGTCTGTCTGTCTGGTATATAGACAAAGTATGTTTGAAATAAACGATTCGCATTACAGCAGCTGCTATTGGTGTTTTTGGACTCAAGTGGACGGGTTAGGCGGATAAGGGCCAATAAGGACGCTAGATTACTCATACTAATCGAACGTCATTGCCACAGTGTGAAGGTCGTAGAAGTCGTATTCTACTGGTGAACAATTTACGCGAATTACGTCCTTGTTAAATTCGTAAGGTCATAACGAGTCAGCGACGACCTTGATCAAGTCATAACAATTGGCTACCGCCTAGGTCAAAAACATAACAAATTGGCGACGGCTAGGTCAAGTCATAACAACATGAGATTTCTGTACTACACTGTTTTGGGGAATAAAATTTCCTACTTACTAGTCTTCTGTTTTCTCTGTTGCAGCATTGCGGGTTCTATCGTCCAAATAGTCTACTAGTAGGCGGCATTGTAAGAATCAAAGCTCTAGATATAACTTTCCACAAAACCCCCTTCTGATAAAGAGAGTAACAAACAAAATGTTATGAGAATTAGAGTGTAATTTTAAATATTCAGAAAAGATGTTGACAACAGACCCCTTTTAGAATAACAACTGAATAGAAGTGAATACTTCTTTGACTTCAAAAAAAAGACGACACATCACCTCATCAATTCAAACAGATTAAAAGGGGGAATATATAAATGTAGATTTATTCATGAGGTGGTTTACAAGAAAACAAATAACATCTTTTACTACAACATTCACTATCTTTTATACAGGCTGAGTCCAAACTTAAACAATCTACACATTTTCCATTGAATGGTCCATCAAGTTCACATACAAGATTACGACAACATCGATCAAATAAAGTTTTTGTACATTTTGCACCTTTTTCTGAACATTTTAAACCTGAAAATTGTAATGAATAATAGAATAAACATAAAATGATGAATTATGCTAATTATATAAACAGATATAAGTAGTATGTAACACTAATCAGAAGTAAAATGGATAGTCAGTCGGTCAGTCAGCTACAACGTAGGATCAGGTACATTTATGCATCGGTCCAAGTCGCCATATCTCACTCATTAGCACAATAAGATGAACACCGGATTTATAGAATTAGTCAATTTAGTGGTAGCAATATATAAAAGAAAGATAGTATATAAGGATATAGTATGGGAAGGAAGACATATATGAAGCAATCTTAATATGAAGGTTTAAGGGAAGATAAAGAGTGTATACACCTACGCCATTGTGATCGATTCTGAGTCATGTCACCTAGAGTCTCTAACCATTGGTAGCAGAAGATTAAGAAGAGATTAAGAATGTAAATAGAGATTTATCATACAGATGAAAGATGATGTATTATGAATGTAGATCAGAGGGGGTTTTGTGAAGAATTTAGTATTTTCATAGTTGAAATCATGAGTCAATTGAAGCTAGACCACCATCGAAAACCTGGAAGCACTGGACGGCAGTATTTCCAGGTTTTCTCCACAAAACCCCCTCTGATCTATAATCATATGCTCACTAGTGACTGACTTCAAGAGATATTTTCTTGAGTTCTAGTGGGAAGCAGTGGCCAATGGAGTTCTACCAGGTTTGTTGTAGAGTTATCAGCTCACTGAAGACATTTGGTGAACGGTCGCTCAAAATCGTGGATTGGTTGAACTTAGACATTAACACCGTTGGATGCCGGCTCAATGGTCTATCGGTTAAGGGCTTCGGCTTGAGACTGGTAGGCCCCAGGTTCGAATCTCGCGGGTGCAGGATCGTGGATGCGCACTGCTGAGGAGTCCCATAATAGGACGATGCTTCCAGGTTTCCGATGGTGGTCTAGCTTCAGTTGACTGATGATTTCAACTGTGAAAGTATTATGAATGCTTAGAATATAGATTATCATTGATTTTATCAGATTTCATGTATATCCAAGATTTGACTTAACCAAAGTAATCACTTGTAGGAAGTAACCTATTAACATCTCTGTAAAAATATAAAAAATGTGTATAATATACTGTTCTGAAGTGTAAAGAATGTTATAACTTATTATGTTGTGCCCTATTAATATATAATGTAATGATACCACCAATTAGGGAACAATGATTTATCGACCAGACCAATGACGCGTAAACCGTTAAGTTCTTATCAGTCCTTGCTTCCTCCTTAAGCCTTCCTGTCACAGTCCAGAATACAAATCTCATCGTCCGCGATATGTATCATATATTTCATGAGTGAGTTGAAGCTAGACCATCATGGAAAACCTGGAAGCGTTGAACAGCCATTTCGTCCTATTGTGGGACTTCTCAGCAGTGCGCACCCACGATCCCATCTCGCGTGCGAGCGCTTGTGCCTAACCTATAGACAACTGAGACGGCGTCCAACGGTGTTAATGTCTAACTTCAATCAATCTACGAAACTGAGAAGCCGTCCACCATTGTCTACAGTGAGTTAATATCTCACAACAGAGGTTAAGCGCTCGCGTGCGAGATTGATAGGTCCTGGGTTCGGATCCGATGAGGCGGGATCCTAGATGCACACTGCCGGGGGGTCCCATATTAGGATAAAACGGCCGTCTAGTGTTTCCAGGTTTACCATGGTGGTCTAGCTTCAATCGACTGAGTATAACGACAATCATAACAATAGAATAACATAGAGAATCTATCATTTCTATTATATAATAATAGATTGATAACATACCTAGAATGCATGTAGTTTCTTTTGTAATGAATATTGATAAAATGAATAATGAGAATAAGAACGATTTGCACATAACTGACATTGTATAACACTAAAGTATACCAAATATCTTTATGATTTAATTCTTACTCTAACTTTATATATATATACAGATTCGATTGAATATGCGTAGGGGGTAAGGTGTGGGAGTGGATGTAGGGGTGATGATGGGGGGTGTTGGTGGTGGTGGTGGTGACGGGGGGTGTTACATCATATTATTTTTACATGATATTTTAAGGAAAGAGAGAAAAAAGGTTCCATTGTAATTTTTTTATTACTTGAATATCAATAGTTATCATGGTTACATGAGGACTTTGACCTAAATTCGAAATAAAATATAATACATATAATTATAACTACTTATTTAAAAACGGTAAAATGTTTTGATTACTATATTAGGTCAATTTGTAGATTAGAGTATATACATATAGATAGATAGGTATAATGTAATCATTATAAAGCTTATTGAATCGGTTATGGCTGATGAGTCTAATATGACATTGTTAATCATGTTTTTGTCTAAATCATGTCAACTATTATTCATTTGAACTTGTTTAAATCTAACGACTAGTTAATGTAAACAAAATATATAAACATAAGTGTATTCATAGTTAACTCCGCCTGTAGCTCTTCTAGAGTTACTGCCGGTCCCAAACCCATACAAAGGAGGAGGGTTGGGCATGGGGTTAGCGACCCCATCCCGTAGAAAAGCTAACTCGCTAAAAAAACGCTAACCAGAAAAAATCATTCAAACCATTTAAACTCTGCCCTGGGAGTAGAAGGAATAATTATAACGTCTCATGATGAAAGCCGAAATTCTTCGGAAGTCACGAGACCGATGCACCTTCTAACAACCAGAGCAACACTCTTTATAGGTACATGGAACGTCCGGACAATGTGGGAGACCGGAAGAGTCTTCCAAATTGCTGCAGAAATGAGAAAATACAACCTGGAGGTGCTTGGAATAAGCGAAACACATTGGAGGCATGTTGGACAACAACGACTGTCTTCAGGAGAACTTCTGTTATACTCCGGTCATGAAGAAGAAAATGCCCCACATACACAAGGAGTTGCATTGATGCTGTCCAGAAAAGCACAAAATGCACTTATTGGATGGGAATCTCATGGACCAAGGATCATCAAAGCCTCCTTCATAACAAAGAGAGAGGACATTACAATGAACGTCATCCAATGCTATGCGCCGACCAACGACTACGATGAAGACGCTAAAGACCAATTCTACGATAGGCTGCAGTTGATCTTCGAGAAGTGCCCAACCAAAGACCTGACCATTCTGATGGGAAATTTCAATGCCAAGGTTGGAAAGGACAACACTGGATACGAAGACGTCGTGGGATGAAATGGACTGACTGGGAGAAAGGAACGAAAATGGTGAGAGATTTGCAAATCTATGTGCCTTCAATAAACTGGTCATAGGTGGCACCATATTCCCACACAAAAACATACACAAAGCCACTTGGATTTCACCGGATCGCATTACACAGAATCAAATCGACCATATCTGCATCAACAAAACGTTCAGGAGGACGATGGAGGATGTGAGAACCAGAAGAGGAGCTGATATAGCATCCGATCATCATTTGCTGCTCGCCAAGATGAAACTAAAACTCAAGAAGCACTGGACAACGGTGCGGACAACATCACAAAAGTTTAATACGGCCTTTCTTCGAGATGCTGACAAACTCAACAAATTCAACATAGCCCTCAGCAACAGGTTCGAGGCCTTTCATGACCTACTCAATGGAGAGGGAACCACCATAGAGAGCAGCTGGAAAGGTATCAAGGAGGCAATCGTTTCAACATGTCAAGAGGTTCTGGGCCAAAAGAAGCACCATCACTGTTGGTACACTGGATAAAATTGAAGAATGGAGGAAACAGAAGGTAGCAATCAACATCAGCCGAACCAGAGAGGAAAAATCCAAGGCACAAGCCGAATACACAGAGGCAAACAAGCAAGTGAAGAGGAGCATCAGAACCGACAAACGTAAATATGTGGAAGATTTAGCAATGACAGCGGAAAAGGTTGCAAGAGAAGGAAACATGAGACAACTGTATGATACAACAAAGAAAATTTCTGGAAATTACCATAAGCCAGAAAGACCAGTGAAAAGCAAGGAAGGCAAAGTAATCGCCGACATTGAAGAACAACGAAACAGGTGGGTAGAACACTTCAAAGAACTTTTGAATCGACCAGCTCCACTGAACCCACCCAACATCAAAGCAGCACCCACAGACCTCCCAATCGATATTGGCCCACCAACAATTGAAGAGGTCAGCATGGCAATTAGACAAATCAAGAGTGGCAAAGCAGCGGGACCAGACAACATCCCGGCAGAGGCACTGAAAGCAAATGTAACAGCAACTGCCAAGATACTTCACATCCTCTTCAGTACGATTTGGGATGAAGAACAAGTACCAAAAGACTGGAAAAAAGGACTCCTGATCAAGATACCAAAGAAAGGCGATCTGAGCAAGTGCGACAACTACAGGGGCATCACTCTTCTCTCAATACCAGGAAAAGTCTTCAACCGAGTATTGTTAAACAGGATGAATGATTCCGTGGACGCCCAACTTCGAGATCAACAAGCTGGATTTCGTAAGGATAGATCGTGCACAGATCAAATCGCAACTCTACGTATCATTGTGGAACAATCAATCGAATGGAATTCATCACTCGACATCAACTTCATCGACTACGAGAAGGCATTTGATAGCGTGGACAGGACGACACTATGGAAGCTTCTTCGACACTACGGCGTGCCTGAGAAGATAGTAAATATCATACGGAACTCCTATGATGGACTAAACTGCCAAATCGTTCACGGAGGACAACTCACCGACTCGTTTCAAGTAAAGACCGGTGTTGGGCAAGGTTGCTTACTCCCACCCTCTCTCTTTCTCCTGGTCATCGACTGGATCATGAAGACGTCAACATCTGGAGGAAATCACGGGATACAGTGGACAGGCAGGATGCAGCTTGACGATTTAGACTTCGCGGATGATCTGGCTCTTCTATCACAAACGCAACAACAAATGCAGGAGAAAACGACCAGTGTAGCAGCAGCCTCAGCAGCAGTAGGTCTCAATATAAACAAAGAGAAAAGCAAAACTCTTCGATACAATACAATATGCACCAATCAAATTACACTTGACGGAGAAGCTTTGAAGGATGTGGAAACCTTTACATATCTAGGCAGCATCATTGATGGACAAGGTGGATCAGATGCAGATGTGAGGGCGCGGATCGGCAAAGCAAGAGCAGCATACTTACAACTGAAAAACATCTGGAGCTCAAAACAATTGTCAACAAACACCAAGGTTAGAATTTTCAATACAAATGTCAAGACAGTCCTACTGTATGGGGCGGAGACGTGGAGAACTACGAAAGCCATTATCCAGAAAATACAAGTGTTTATTAACAGCTGTCTACGCAAGATACTTCGGATCCGATGGCCAGACACTATCAGCAACAAGTTACTGTGGGAGACAACAAACCAGATTCCAGCAGAGGAAGAAATCAGGAGGAAGCGTTGGAAGTGGATTGGGCACATCTTAAGGAAATCACCTAATTGCGTCACAAGACAAGTCCTCACATGGAATCCTGAAGGTCAAAGGAGAAGAGGAAGACCAAAGAACACATTACGCCGAGAAATAGAGACAGACATGAGAAGAATGAACAAGAACTGGATAAAACTAGAAAAGAAGGCCCAGGACAGAGTTGGTTGGAGAAAGCTGGTCAGCGGCCTATGCTCCATTGGGAGTAATAGGCGTAAGTAAGTAAGTAAGTAAAGTAAGTAATTCAAATACATTCCAACTGATTGGTCATACATGACAACCATAGTATCTTAGTTCAGTTATATATCAGTTTATTTTTGTATTTTGTAGAATATAATGAATGAATTATATTTTGATGCAAATATAGATAGTAGTTAACAGTGGAACTTGTCAGTTGGATGTATTTGCCACATCCCAGAGTTGATGTTTACTCTGGAACTCAAACCTAGTAACATTTGCTTCAAACCCCATCGCGTTATCTACTCAGCTAATCAGTCCTGATATCCATTTGATTGTGTTATGGGGTGAAGTTTTAAATTCACTTAATGTTGTTTATTTGTATCTTCCTATAGTTATTTAAGACTACAATTGATCAATCACTTGTTGGGAATATGTACATCCTATGCTGACTGCTTCGATATTGTTCATATTTACTTTAAGTTTATGATTAGAATCTATCGTATACGACTTTTGTATATTTGTTGAAAACACCATACTATTAGAAAAAGCTTTTACATGATTACATAATCTAATTTTAGTCATGCCATTATGTTGCGAGATAAGAGGATCAGAAATAAGTAGACTAGGATTCGAACTTAACGACCTATTGGTTGGAAACCGAATCCCTTAACCATTAATTCAACCAATGGTAATGGGTTGATTATACAAATATACAGATAGATTATAGGGGGAAACAACATATCGATTTTATGTACTTTATCAAATGATAAACAGTAAAGTTTTATGTGGACTTGTTATATCCCATAAGCGATTGATGAATGGTAACTTTGAGAATTATTTATGGACCGATGTGATATGTATATTTCCTATTGTATGATTGTTAAGTAACCACACTATTCATATTTGTGTCCCCCTTATTATAAGCTTCATTTTGACCTATAGACTATTATTATACGATTTACCATTCTTAAGTTATCCCTAGTCTATTAATTACTGTTCCCCCCTATTCACAGCCACATTTGGCCAAATAATGTATAAATGTTATTTTCTATTTTATGGTACGATGTAGTCAGTTTGATTGGTATATAAACCCAATATGTTCGAGAATAATGATTCATATTGTAAAGGATGTTATTGGTGTTTTGAACTTAACTGGTTGGGCTAGGCAGAAAGCAGTACCAACAAGGACTTCAGACTGTTCGTACGGGTTTCGTGTATCATTGCTCTGATCGCTAGTTCACTTCTCCCTAATTAGCGGGAATTATCACGTCATATCTTAAACAGGGCACGCACTCATTCGACATAACATGATTGAACAATAAT